TCTAAGAGAGAGAGAGAGGGAGGGAAGGAAAAGGATGGAGTTTCTTATCAGATAATACATAATCTTAAGAACTGGGCCAGTTAGTGGTGTAACTAAGATGTATGTGGTTTAGAATAATATTCTGTCAGACATTAGGAAGTACTGACTCTTAAGATCTCTTCCAACTTTAATATACCATGCTATTCTTACTTTTCCCTAAATTCATAGTTACTGGGATTTGGTGATAGTATATGTTTTCAATTTGTCTTGACAGAATTTCCAGTAGTGTCGACATAGCCATCTGTAGTTGTTTTCCATAGTTTCCAAATTCATTGTAAAGTTCAGTGGTTGTGACATTGTTTTGTTTGTTTGAATGTGTAGCCAATGAAATGATGTGTAAATTTTTTCCTTCTCACTTCAAAGTAGAATTCCTTTATTGATTCCCTCAGACTACCACCAGAACTTAATAAATGGTACTTGTGGATATATCTAGATGCTAAGACGGAGTTGAAGGATTCTTTTGGGGGCTGGGAATTCCTGCCTAAGTAGTAACTGTGTTCTTCATCAAAAGGCCTTTAATGTCCGCTTGTTTGTTCTAATAAGCATTTTTGTTGGTCTTTTTTTTTTTAACCTCTATTTTGGGCTTACAAGATCATTTAATTCTTTCCTTGTCTAGTTTTAGTGGAATGCTTCTACAAAAAAATAGAAAACGGGAGCCAGCAGGCAACGGTGGCTCACACCTTTGATCCCAGCACTGGGGGGGGCAGAGGCAGGTAGACCTTTGTGAGTTCAAGGCCAGCCTGGTCTACAGAGTTAGTTGCAGGACAGCCAAAACAAGCAGAGAACCCCTGTCTTGAAAAAACAAAACAAACAAAGTCCAATCCCAAATGAACAACAAAAACTAGAAAAACTTTTTACTTAGCTTTTTAAAATACACGTGGGAAACAGTTTTTAAACATGGTTTCTTCCATAGTATTCTCAACAGATGACTAATTGGAGTTTGGTTTGTTTTGTGTTATGTATATTGCTTGGGCTTTTTGGTTTTTGTTGTTTTGTTGGAGGGGGTGTTTTGTTTGTTTGCTTGTTTGTTTTGATAGGGTCTTATTAATGAAGACCTGGCTGGCCTGCAACTCTTGTCTAGACTATGGCCTTAAACTAAGAGTCATCTTCTGCCTCCCTGGTGCTGAGATTAAAACATATGTCATTATACCCAACCCTGGCTTTTGGTTTTTATAGAAGAGGAACGTTAGGAGTGGATGAATTTCTAAATTTAAAGGTTCGATTTATGTTGGATGGTGGTGCACATATTTAATCCCAGCACTTTTACAGGCAGGCGGATTTTGAGTTCCAGGACAGTCTGGTCTACAGAGTGATTTCCAGGACAGCCAGAACTACACAGAGGAACCCTGTGTTGGGGTGGGGGTGGAAGATTTGATTCATTTTATCCCTTTGCTTTATACTATACTTACTTACTGGAGATCAAATAACTCCTTAATTGGATAGCAAAATTTTTTATGTTGAGCTTTAATCTTTGTAATGTATAGTTAAGACTTTAGAGCTTGCTTTTCTCTGAAATGCCTACCAATTGCAGCTCAGGTGTTGACACCTCAGACCTCAAATAACTATTTCTCAGGAGCCTATTTCTTTTACTGGACAGTGGGTGTTTTGTTTTGTTTTGCTTTTGATACAGGGTCTCCTTATGTAGTCCTGTCTGTTTTGGAACTTGTTTGGCCTTGAACTCTCTGCAGGCATTAAAGGGGTGTGGCACTATGCCTGACACCTTGGGCAACAATTTTTCACTACAAAATAAGGACAAGTGTTGCTGTTAGCTTAATGAATACAGCTAAGGAAAATGTGTGTGTTAAAATAGATTCTGGCCAGGCTGCAGTGGGGCATGCCTTTGCTCCCAGCACTCAGGAGGCAGAGGCAGACAGATCTCTTAATTCGAGGCCAACCTAGTTTTACATAGAGAGTTCCAGGACAGCCAGGGCTACTAGACCCTGTCAGGCATATGCATTGATATTTCCAATTCAAATCTGGAAATTTAGAAGTTGATTTTACTCCTTGTGTCTTATGTTTGCTGCATTTTTCCTTTCCAGAAAATCCTGGTTCAAAAAGACATCAGAAATATACCATAAATATCCAGTATATCAGTCATCAGAATTGTGAGATGACACATTTACCTTTTCTAATATCACTGAAAACAGTCTGAATAATATTGTCATCCAGAATAATAAGTATAGTTTGACATTTTAATATATTTTCCTCATTCTCTTTGTTTTTTTTCCTTTTAGGATTAACATATATTTGGATATTTGTTTATTCTTTTTTGTTTTTTGTTTTTTTTTGTTTTTTCGAGACAGGGTTTCTCTGTATAGCTTTGGAGCCTATCCTGGCACTCGCTCTGTAGACCAGGCTGGCCTCGAACTCACAGAGATCCACCTGCCTCTGCCTCCCAAGTGCTGGGATTAAAGGCATGCGCCACCACTGCCCAGGAATTTACTTTTTATTTTTATGTGTATGATATTACTGTTTTGCCTGCTTGTATGTCTGTGTGCATGTGCATGCTTGGTACCTGAGGGCAGAAGAGGCATTCCCTTGAAACTGGAGTTACAGGTGGTTGTGAGCAGCCATGTGGGTGCTGGAAACCAAACCTGTGTCCTGTTCAAGAGCAGCAAGTGCTCTTAATCACTGAGCCATCTCTCCAGCCACCTTCTTTTTGTTGTTTTTAGTTGTATTTTATCTAGAGCATGTAACACTTCCCATATCCCTCTTAATCTAAATTCTATACACATGCTGCATACCTGTGTGAGATTGGTTCCAGAACTTGTAAGAATTGGATGTTCAGCCGGGTGGTGGGGGCGCATGCCTTTCTTTAATCCCAGCATTAAGGAGGCAGAGGCAGGAGGATCTCTCTGAGTTCGGGGACAACCTGGTCTAGAAACCGCGTCTCTTAAAAAAAAAAAAAGAATTGGATGTTCAAGAGGACCATCTGGGTGTTTTTAATATTCATTACCAGTCTTTGTTGATGTCTGTCCACCTACTCTAATACTTATTGTCAAGTCATAAGGAACTACTCATTAAATTTTTTTAGACTTAAACTTATTTCTTTGTATGTGTATGAATGTTTTGCCCAAATGTATGTGTGAGTATGACATATGTGCCTGGTACTCTGAGAGGTCAGAGAAAGGCATCAATCCCCTGGAACTGGAGTAAGGCATGGCATGAGTTACCATTCAGGTTCTGGGTATCAAACATGGGTCCTCTGCAGTAACAACAAGTGCTCCTAGCTGCTGAGCCATCTCTCTAGCCCCTTGTGGGCATTTTAATCTCTGATTTCTTACATGTCAGTGAAAGTGCATCTGGTGTTTTAGTACTTAACAGTCATTTTGGCAGGGTATAAAAAATTACTGACTTAGAGGCTGGAGCTCAATGGTTAAGAGCATTGACTGCTCTTCCAGAGGACCTGGGTTCAATTCCCAGCACACATATGGAGTCTATAACTCCAGTTCCAGGGAACCCGACACTCACACAGACATGCAGGCAAAACACCGAAGCACATAAAATTAAAACAAAATTAGTGACTCTTACGTGCTTTTCTTTGAACTAAAATACATAAGCTTCTTTTCTAGCATTATAGATTACTACCTAAATCAAATAGATGTTACTTCATTTATAAATCCAGTATTTATTTTGCCTTTATTACTCAAAAGGGTTTTCTCTCTTTTTCTTTTTCTTTTCTTCTTTTTTTTTCCCCAGACAGGGTTTCTCTGTGTAGCTTTGTAGACTAGGCTGGTCTTGAACTCACAGAGATCCACTTGCCTCTGAGGCCTCCTAAGTGCTGGGATTAAAGGCATGCACCTCTACCACCCATTTCTTTTTTTTAAACTTGTTTTATATTAGGTATATGAATGTTTTGCCAGTGTATATGTGCCATGCGTTTCCATGTTAGATCTCTGGAACTTGGTTTAGGGATGGTTGTGTACCATCTTATGGGTACTGGGAATCAAACTCGGGTTATCTGCAAGAGCAACAAGTATTTTCAACACCTGAGCCATCTCTCTAGCACCTCTCCCTTTTTCTTCAACATTTATTTTTCCAAAATATGTCTTAAGTGCTTGATCGGTTTTTGCAGGTAAATAGTTTTGACCTTTCAGTATGTAGTTTAAAATGCTTTTTTTTTTTAAAGAAAGGATTACTAAATCATAGTTATTTGTTCTGTTCCTGTTTGTTGGTGGTGTTCTTTGGGCCCTTCTAGTATGCACATGTTGGATTTTCTTTTGCATTTGTCCTGTTTTCTCCTTAATACTACTTGTTTGTTTCTTTACTGTAAAATGTCCTCCTTGCCCTCTTATGCTTTATTTGTTATACTTGCCTAACAATTCTAGGGGTGTGTGTGTGTGGGGGGGGTACTTCTGATTCTTCTGGTTAGCTGTCCTGGAACTCACTCTGTAGACCAGGTTTGCCTTGAACTCAGAGATCTGCATGCCTCTGCCTCCCAAGTATTGGGATTAAAGGCATGAACCACTAACAACTGGATTGAAAGAAAACCTCTTTGGTGCTTATTGAAGATAAGATTCTTGCATGAGCCTGATACTTTAGAAACCAAAAACAAATCTGTTAAAATGTAATTATGCTTTAAGAATAGCACACCTTAGTAGGGCATGATGGCCTGTGTCTTTAATCCCAGCATTCAGGAGGCTGAGGCTGGTGGATATCTGTGAATTCATAGCCTGGTTTACACAATGATGTCCAGGACAGCCAGTACTATATAAAGAGACCCTGTTCCAAAATAAAAAAGGAGAGTAGCACATTTTTATGAACATATTATCTGTTTATGGTTTTTTAAATTTAAAGGAAACATTTTATGGAACTACTTTACAAAATATCATTCTCATTAAAATACTTCAGATTTTCTTACCTGCAGATTCGGTACCTGCAGAAGTGTAGTGTGTATATGTGAGGTTTGTTTTTCTTTTTGTGGTTTTATAATATGTCTAAACTATTATTCTTAAATTTAGGTTAAATGTGCACAATACTGGCCAACAGATGACCGAGAGATGCTGTTTAAGGAAACAGGATTTAATGTGAAACTCTTATCTGAAGATGTGAAGTCATATTATACAGTCCATCTACTGCAGTTAGAAAATACCAATGTAAGGCATTTCTGGTTTCAGAGTTTCAGTTTTATTTGATGGTTTTAAGAATTCTTTATTACTTGGATTTGAATATTTGTAATGATATCTAGTCATAAACATGTTTAGATTGTATTTCTGTATAAAGTAACTGAAGAATTCCTAAAAACAAAGAATTACAATGTTCTGGTTAATATTAATATTTGAAGACTGAAAATTAATTATTAGAGCTGGAGAGATGCCTCAGTGTTTAAGAGTATATGGTCTTCTTGGAGAAGGCTGGAGAGATGCCTCAGTGTTTTAAGAGTATATGGTCTTCTTGGAGAAGGCTCAGGTTTAATTCCCAGGACCCATGCTGAGAGGTTTACCACTGCCTATAACTCTGGCCCTAGGGAAACCAGTGCCCTCTTGTGGCCTTCAGCCCCTGGCACATACATGATACACATAGATATATATGCAGACACCCAAACATACACATAAATACAAATAAAATTTTAAGACAAAAAATAATTATGCCACATGCTAGTGACTCTTGTCTTTAATCCCAGCACTTGGGAGGCAGAGACAGGTGGATCTCTGTGAGTTCAAGGCCAGCCTGGACTACAGAGTGAGTTTCAGGACAGCCAGCACTTCGGAGAAACCCTTTTTTGGAAAAAGGAGGAGGAGGGAGGGCAGTTACTAAAAATACAGAAAGGGATGTTGTGGGTATAGTTTGGTGGTCAAGCACTTGCTTCGTGTACTCTAGGTCCTAGATTAAGTCCTGAGAACCAAAAACTAAAACCTAAGTGGATATTGAATATAGCTGAGTTGTAAGGTGCCTTCTTGGTGTGCTTGAAGGTTTAGGGTTCAGTATCCGTCACCAAGAAAATGCAAAACATACTTCTGGATAAAGAGAGGATCACTGAAGCAAACTTGAATTCATATTCCAGTTCTGCTACTTGGTAGAGGTGTGGTTTCCTCATCTATGAGAATGAAATTGTATATTTGTAGGCTGTTGTGGAGATCAAATGAAAGCTTGGATATGTATAAAACATTTCATACCATTACTCTCAGTATGATAGCAAAGGTTAAGAAAAAGACGTATCAAAGTTGGAAGTGACCATACAGAAATGTGACTTTATTAAGTTGGAAAGAAAATGGTAAAGTAAATGTAGCATATCATCTCAGGAATATTTATCTAGATTTTTTTTTTCTCCAGAAGATTCTCTATGAATCTATCCTTGAAATCCCTATATAGCCAAAGATGGCCTTGAACTTTTGGTCTTCCTGTCTCCTTGAATGCTGTGGTTGCAGGCATGCACCACTACACCCAGTTCTGTGTGTTGCTAGGCTTTCAGCCAGGGTTTGGTATGTGACCCAGGGCTTTCTAGATATAAGGCAAGCGTTCTTTCCACTGCTGTAACCCCATCTCTAGTTTTTTTGTTTTGTTTTTGTATGTTCATAACACAGGTTTCTGCAGCAATAATTAATGTGTTTGTATAAGAAAAAATTAAGGGGCTACAGAGATTCTCAGTGGTTAGTACTGGCTGCTCTTTCAGAGGTCTTGAATTCAATTCCCAGCAACCACAAGGTGGCTCACAGTCATCTATAATGGCATCTGGTGCACTCTTCTGGCGTGCAGGTGTACATAAAGATACAGCAATCATATCTATAAAATAAATAAATCAAAAAATATATTAACAACAAGGAAAAAATTAGAGCTGACATCTCCTTGTTTTTTCACATTTTAGAGTGGTGAAACCAGAACTATATCACACTTTCATTATACCACCTGGCCAGATTTTGGAGTTCCTGAGTCACCAGCTTCATTCCTAAATTTCTTGTTTAAAGTTAGAGAGTCTGGCTCCTTGAACCCGGAGCATGGACCTGCAGTGATCCATTGCAGTGCAGGCATCGGGCGCTCTGGTACCTTCTCCCTCGTAGACACCTGTCTTGTTCTGGTAAGTGTCCATGGGACCTCATTTCAGTTTTGTGGGGTTTTTAAGTTTGGTTTGGTTTTTCCAGGCAGGGTTTCTCTGTGCAATAACCTTGGCTGTCCTGGAACTCACCTTGTAGACCAGGCTGACCTCAGACTCACAGATTAATCTGCCTCTGTCGAGTGCTGGGATTAAGGCGTGCAGCACCATGCCTGGCCAGTTTTGTTTTTGCCTTTTTTTTTATGGTTTTATAATATTAATGAAAGAAAGGTAAACTTTTTGTTTATTTTTCAAGATGGTTTCCCCGTGTTGCTCTGGCTGTCTTGGAATTCTGTAGACCTGGCTGGCCTCGAATTAAGAGGTTTGCCTTCCTCTGCCCCCCTAGTGCTGGGATTAAAGTTATGCACCACCACCATCCAATTGATAAACATTATATTATGTGTGTGTACCATGTGCACGACAGGTGCCTGAGGAGGTCAGAAAAAGTATTGGACTCCCAAAACTGGAGTTGCATGTAATTGTAAGATATTTGTGGGTGCTTGGAACAAAACCCTGGTCCTCTCCAATTGCAGCCAATTTTCTTACCCACCTCGCCCCTTAATTTGTTTTTAACTGTTTCTCCAGGCAGCAGTAAGTTCCAAATTCATATCCAGGGTTTTTTCAGGTCAAACTTGTAGAAAATCTCTAACTTCCACTATTTAACTCTAATTCCTGGCTTATATATGAGTATGTCTAAAATATTTCCACAGATTCCCTAAGAAGTTTTTCTCAGCCAGGCTTGCTTCATATCTGTCATCCAAACCCTAAGGAAGCTAAGGCAGAAAGTTTGCCTCAAGTTTGAGGAGTTGCTAAGGAGTGAGATTTTACCAAGAAAAGAAGAAGAAAATGAAGTCTCCCCTCAAAAGAGAGAGAAATGGCAAAAGGAAAAAATAAATGTTGATGTAGTAGTGAGTGCCTACCATCTCAGCATCTGAGGCCAGCAAGGGTTACCTAGTAAGATCCCACCTCAAAAAGAAATGCCAGTCTGAACTGGGGAGATGGCAAGCATGAGGACTTAAGTTTAGATTCCCAGCACACACTTAGAAGTCAGACACAGTGACACATGTTCGTAATCCCAGAAGTTGGGGAGAAGTGGAGTCAGGTGGATCCTTAGATCCCACTGACCAGCCAACTTACCTAAATCATTGAGTTCCAGGTCCAGTAAGAGATCCTGTCTCAAAAAACAAGACAAGTCCAGGTATGGTGGCATACACCTTTAATCCTATAGAAGCAGAGGAGTCTCTGAGTTCCAGACCAGCATGGTCTGCATAACAAATTCCAGAACAGCCAGAGCTACATAATAGAGACATTTGCTTCTGGCCTCCATACACACATGTACATGCATGCACCTTCACAAATACATCCATACATCATATATACATGCACAATATAATTTATAATTAAAAAAATTGAACAGCTGGGCGTTGGTGGCGCACTCCTTTAATCCCAGCACTCAGGAGGCAGAGGCAGGTGGATCTCTGTGAGTTCGAGGCCAGCCTGGTCTACAGAGCGAGTTCCAGAACAGCCTCCAAATCAATAAAGAGAAACCCTGTCTTGAAAAGCCAAAAAAACAACAACAAAAAAACAGCTGTGTGGTAGTGGCACACGCCTCTAATCCCAGAACTCAGGAGGCAGAGGCAAACAGATCTCTGGGTTCGAAGCTTGGTCTGCAGAGTGAGTTCCAGGATAGTCAGAGTTGTAACACAGAGAAATCTTATCTTGAAAAACGAGAGGGTGTGGGGAGGAGGGAAGGAGAGGGGGAGAGGATGGTTTTGGAATTGGTTGAGTCATCTAGAGACCCAGAAGCCCTTCAGCCCTGCGTGTAAGGATAATGGTTGATTGCCACCATGTGTCAAATCATTTTTTCTTTAAGAAGAACCATAGCACAGATAAGGTCTAAGCAGTCATCTTGTATTGCTTCTGTTTTCTCAACTTGGTCTTGCCTTTCTTGCAGATGGAAAAAGGAGAGGATGTTAATGTGAAACAAGTATTACTGAATATGAGAAAATATCGAATGGGACTTATTCAGACACCAGACCAGCTCAGATTCTCCTATATGGCCATAATAGAAGGTGCAAAGTACATACAAGGAGATTCAAATATACAGGTAAATCACTGTCACTAATGTCAGATAACCAGACTCCATCTATATCCTTACTTAGTTTGGTAGACCAGTTGTCTATCTATCCCAGCATTCAAGAGGCAGAGAGGTAAGTCAGTAACTGATAAAAATTATGGGTTAATTCAAGTGTAAGAGTTAGCTAGTAATAAGTCTGAGTTATCAACCAAGCATTTAAATAATGTAAGCCTCTGTGTGGTAATTTTGGAAGCTGCTGTTGGATATTTGGGACTGACTCTGGTACAGGAAACATCCATTTACATATTGGTCATGTCAGACCAAAAAAAAAAAAAAACAAACTGAACAAAGGAGATTAGATTCAGGGATTTCATTTTTCAGTGCAGCATTCTCATCTTGCTTCTCTGCGTTTGCTGGCGACTCTGACTCTGCCCTTCATCTCTTGGAATTCTCCTAGTCTGATTTTCATACATCCGTAACCCACCAAACAACCAAAACCATCCACCCTACCTCTTGAAACTGTGGGCATCAGTTTTCTAGATTGCTTCCTGTTGTCTGGTGTCTCTGGCATCTTTAGTGGATCCTGAGAAGGTTAAGATGATGGTCAAATTCTGGGGGAGCTAGCTGTTATCCAGACTCTGTGTGATGGGAAAATGTAGGGTTTAGCTGAAGTTATGACTGGGAATAGTCTATGAGGTTGGACCATCTCAGCAAGCAGCCTTGAAGCTGTTCTGAGTGTAGAACTCTGAAGAAATTGCAACAAAAGCATAACCTCTTCCCCAAGCAATACATTTTTTATTTCCATTTTGAAATTAAGACATTTAAAAAATATATAGGATGGTTTAATTTAGTAATTTCTATAATCCAATGTCTCAGTAGCTATTGTTTACTCATCAACAATCAAAATGTAAAGTCAATACAACACCATACAGGATCCAAATTCCCTGTGTAGTTCCCACTTCTATGTGGGGGTTTTTTTTTTAACATTTTCCTTTAAAGGCTTTATTTCATTATTTATAAACTGTTTACTTTTTTTTTCTGCTTATGCTTTTTTTCCTCTTTCCTTTCTTAAGCCTATGCACATTGTTAAACACAGTGAAACACTGGAACCTATTTAAAGGTTTTTTTTTTTCCGATCTGGATCTTTTAAAAGAAAATTTATTTTATGTGCATTGGTATGAGGGTGTCAGATCCCCTGGAACTGGAGCTACCATGTGGGTGCTGAGAATTGAATCAGGGTCTTCTGGAAGAGCAGCCAGTGCTCGTAACTGATGAGCCATCTCTCCAGCCCCCTCAATCTCTCTTACTAAGCATCTACAGTATTCTGTGTTAGCCAGTGTGCATCTCAGTTCAGCATATGGTGCTGGTGTATGGCACCAATGGCCGGCTCCAGCATACATGCAGGCAGTGGCTGGTAGCTGCATCTCTGTGTGTGTTGCCAAGCCTACCCAAGAACTGTGGTCACCAGGAAGCCATGCCAGGAAGCTGTCTTTGACTTTCTGTGTTTTGAACTTTTTTTTTTTTTTTTTTTTTTAGCTTTCTTGGACTTTATGTGGATATATGTGGTCAGACCTTGGGTGCCATATGTAATTGATGTTTCTCTCTCAAGCCAGCCATCTCCCAAATCATGACACGGAGAATTACAAATTACAATAGTTTGGCTGTTAGCTTAGTCTTGTTTTTAGGTAGCTCTTATAACTTAACACATTTACTTCTATTAATCTGTGTGCTGCCCCAGGCTTGTCTACCTTAGCTACATAACACCCATCCTGCTTTCCTGCTTCCTCCGTGTCTCCTCGAGTATCCACCTTCTTCCCAGCATTCTCTTCCCTGAAAATCTTGCCTGTTAGCTGTGTAGCCTTTTACTAAACCAATTCACATGCAATCTTCACAGTGTACAAAAAGATTATTCCACGCTTACTACTTCTCTTCTCTACCTAGAAACGGTGGAGAGAACTTTCTAAAGAAGATTTGTCTCCTGTTCGTGATCATTCACAAAACAAAACAATGACTGAAAAGTACAATGGAAAAAGGATAAGTTCAGAAGAGGAAAAACTAACAGAACTTTCTTCTAAGATTCAAGATAATGTGGAAGAGAACAATGAGAGGTATGTGCCATGTGGCCTACTGAGAAAGATGAGGAGTGTGAAATAATACAGACTCTTGGTTTTTACAGTTATTATGACCTTTTACTTAAGTCAAAGTGCTTGGGTGCTATTTGATGACATCAATATTGTCAAAGAGTTGTCTGTTTATGAAAATAAACCTGTACAATCTGGTCTGTGGTGACTCACACCTTTAATTCCAGCACTCTGGAGGCACAGGCAGGCAGATCTCTGTGAGTTTGAGACCAGTTTGGTCTACAGAGTGAGCTCCAGGACAGCCTGGGCTACAGCAATACCTTATTTAGGAAAACAAACAAACAAACAAGAAAACCAGAACAACACCAGAGAGATGATTCGGTGTGTAAGAGCACTTACTGCTCTTTTTAGAGGACCTAAGTTCAGTTCCCAGCACCCAAAACTGGTGACTCACAACCAAGTATTACTCCAGTTCCAGGGGATCCAATGTCCTCTAGCCTCCTTGCACATTTTGTTTTTGTTTTGTTTTTTAGAATTATTTATTTTACATTCATGAGTATTTTGGATACATGTCTACGACACCTGTGCTTGGTGCCCACAAGGGGCCAAAAGAGGGTGTCAGATCCTCTTAAACTGGAGTTAGAGACAGGTGTGAGGTACCAGTTGCGAGTTGGAAATTCAACCCCACCCATTTACAAGTGTTCTTAACCACTGACCCATCTCTCTAGCGCCAACATAAAAAAATTTTTTTTGAAAACACAGTACTGATAAATTTAAAAGCCAATTTGTGTTCAGAAGTTGCTATAATTAGGTAATTAAAATAGTGTAAGACAAAATGAGTCATATGAATGAATATTTGTAATTGCTAAGTATTTATATTAGAGCTATAATTGACAGTGTACCTAACTAGAAAAAAGCTAGGTACATTTCCTCTGTGGAATATTTTTCTCCAGAATTACATGAAACAATTGTGTGTCCACACATGAGTTCTTTTTCTGAATGGCTTTATTTTCTTTTATGTTTTTTATTATGGAAAGTGTTATGATGTTGTATTTGTTAAGATTAAGATGCTGAGGGGTTCCCAGCACTCGGGAGGCAGAGGCAGGCGGATCCCTGTGAGTTTGAGGCCAGCCTGGTCTACAAAGTGAGTTCCAGGACAGCCTCCAAAGCTACAGAGAAACCCTGTCTCGAAAAAAACCAAAAAAAAAAAAAAAAAAAAAAAAAGAGATGCTGAGGGATTCCATAAATTTAGTCAAAATTCACCTCCCTGGGACTGTGGGAATAACTCAGTGGTAGAACTCATATTCAATATACACAGTGCCCTGGGGCCCATCCTTAGCATCAGGAAAAAAGCAGTTATTTGCCTGAATATTATAAAAGCTAACATTTTTTTCTAGAGGAAGAGTTCAGTGACTGACATTGGTCATTCTTCTGTGAATCCAGGACTGGTTGCCCTGGGTGTCTAAGAGCTTTCAGTGAAACAAAATTCCATGTTGTACTGGAAGTTGGAGCTAGAAATGTGTATGGTCAAATAAAAGAGTGAGCACCCTCCAAACAGAGCATTCATAGAAATAGTCAAAGAACTTTGAGATTTTGTATGCTATAACAAAAGGGACCAGATTCTAGAGAATCTTCAGTCTGTTCCCTCTCGGCTGGTTGGGAAAGAGGAGGAAGGAGACAGTTTTGAAAAAATGTCTGGCTTACCTTCAGGTACTGGTAAAGTATTACTATAAGTATACCAGAAATTGTACCTAAATTGTAAGAGCATATTGTTGGATTTGTGGAACAGTTGGACATTTTCCCTTTATTGCTACATTGTTTAAATGAGATGTAAAATATGTGAATGTCCATGATTTTGTTGGTGGTCAGGCCCCTGTGTCCCTGCAATTAAGGCCTGCTGTGCAGACACTTTAATTTGTTTCTGTCTATTCACAGTATTCTACGGAAACGTATTCGAGAGGACAGGAAGGCCACTACAGCTCAGAAGGTGCAGCAGATGAAACAGAGGCTAAATGAAACTGAACGAAAAAGAAAAAGGTGGTTATATTGGCAACCTATTCTCACTAGGATGGGGTTTGTGTCAGTCATTTTGGTTGGTGCTTTGGTTGGCTGGTCACTGTTTTTTCAGTGACATGTCCTATAAATAAACAGTTTTACCCAGCACCTTTATGCACTGGCAGGTGACAGTGCTGCATTAATCTCAAGGGTTTGTTAGCAAATGCCTCATACCCCAATAACGTTGCAGTAGATTAGACATCAACCAGATAAGGGATATTTACAGTCACAAGCCCAACATCTCAGGACTCATCACTGCAGGTTCCTCTGAGACCCAAACTGTCAATGACTCAAAGACAAATGTGCTTGTTGAAAACTGTTACATCTTACAGCTGTGCTTCACTGACCAATATTGAGAAATCCTTATTACAAGGATTTGCTTTTGGAGGCTTTCTGGATTTTAACCTGCACTTGATATAAGCAATAAACATTGTGTTTTTTTTTCTATGTTATCAATGGAAAAAAATATCCTTTAAATGATGTGTGTAATATGTAATATACTGTTGAAATGGGCATTACAACTTTATATGCTTAACCATTTTAGGGTAAATATATTTTATAAGTACTTATTTAATTTTACTTTTGTAGTTAAATGTACTTTAAAAGTTCAATTTGAAAATATGTTACCATAGAAAAATAAATTGTATGTTGACTCAGTTGTATACTGAATACATTTTCCCTTTCCTAAACAGAAGTTTGGTAGAGGCAGTTGAAACTATGAGCAAGCTATTTCTACTACACATTTTTATTTCTTTTGTATTTTATGGTTTATCTTAATTTAAAAAGAAAAGCAAAGAAACAAAATTTTTCTAAACATGTTATTGAAGGAAAATTCTCCTTTCTGGGATAGTCAAGTGAGAGTTGGTCAAGACTAACCTTAAAAATAACAAAAAATTGTATTCTGCAGGACATCACACATAGTGCTCAAGAAGCTGAGGCAAGAGGTTCAAAAGTCTGAAGCCAGCCAAGGCCATATAGCAAGTTCCTATCTTTAAGAATAAGAACAGTGGAGGGGAGGCCAGAGAACACCAAGAATAAAATTGGTTCTTAGCCATATGTGATGGCGCAAACCGGTGATCTCAGCATTGGGGAGATAGAGGCATAAGGGCCACAAGTTCAAGGCCAGCCAGGGCTGTAAGAAATTGTCTCAAAAAACTGAAGTGGTTAAAAGAAAAGAAATTGATTTCTGTAAAGTAAAGCCCATGCATGATTTACACTGTTCTTTTTTTTTTTGTGAAAATGTTAATGTAATTACTCAAATGGGATAACTTATTACTAGGTAAAAGGAGCCAGTGTTTTATACTTACGATTTCAGCTCATTGGACTGAAATTTTGAAGTAAAAAAAAAATTCAAGTTCTTTCTAAGTTTAATAAATAGTACGATGGTGTACAAATTTACATTGTCCCTTACCTTTGTAATGAGTATTTTTAAAGCATGCAACCACTAATAGGGTTTTGGTGGTTTCAAAGTCTGTGCTTTGGATCTGTCATCTAGGTGGTGGTCAGGTTCCAAACCACTAGGACAATATCTCAGCTTTATCTCTTTCATATATCATGTAAGGTTGCATTATAAGGATTAATTACTTTAAACAAGACAGTTTAATTCTGTTTGAAAACCACAGGTATAGCTAGGAATTGTGAATGGCCTTGAGAAGCAGTTTTGAATGTGCAAGTTCCAGGACAGCCTCCAAAACAATACAGAGAAACCCTGTCTCGAAAACCAAAAAAAAAAAAAAAATTCCAGTTAAAGTAGGACAAGGTGACATACACCTTTAATCCCAGCACTAAGGAGGCCAAGACTGGCAAATTCCTGTGATTTCCAGACTAGCCTGATCTACATAGAAAATTCCAAGTCAGCCAGGATACACACTGAGACCCTGTCTTGAAAGAAAGGAATCCAATTGAAGATAGCTTCAACTTCAACAGCTTCTTAGAACAACATACTGATAAGGCTGTACTAGCCTTTCCCTGGAAGGATGTGCCTTCTAGAGATAGCATTGAACACTGCTCTTTTTGCTTCTTGGTGTGTAGTTAGTGCTTCTCAGAACACATTTGGTATAGACTCCTCAGCGCAGGGCTTGTCTTTTTCCTGAGCAGATCTTTAAGGGCTGGTTTTAACAACAGCAGCTTTAAATATTTAAACATTTTTGTACTGCTTACTAAGTATACATGGCATTTGACTGCAGTGCCCATGGGCATCATCCTGCCTTGTATGAAGTGAGGTGTACTATGATACTATGCGTTCTTGAGTGCTCGCCAGAGAAGGGGAACTAGCAGTCTCTGGTGGTTCTGCATCTTAAACCATGTTCATCAGTCTCGTGGTATTTACTGACTTTAATTAATTTAGGAGTAGTGTGACTTCAATCAAATTCTGCCTTTCTTAATAAATTGGGAAAAGAAAAGGTATTTTTAAAGGGCCTTATTCACAAAAAAGAATTCTTAATTCCTATCTCTTCCTGTCTTGATTTAATGTCAGTGTCTATACCTGCGGTTATATATGCCTTCCAAGGTACTGTGTTATATCTGCTTACTGATTTCTATCTATGCTTGCTCAAACATAAAATGTAAAGATACAGTTCTTTTTAAATGTATTTATATATAAAGGCCATTTGTCGTGTTCAGCTGAGACTCTTACACATTTGTCAGGTTTTCTACATCTTGTTCTTCTCTCTTTTTATCCATTTCATTATGTGTTATGTTAGCATTTGTACCAAAGAGTGAACAGGAAAAGTGAGAACTTGTGTAATCATTTTCTGTTGAAACAGCTGTGCTTTACAGGTGCATCAGAGGAAAGAGTCCTAATCTACGAGTTCACTTGACATTCACTGGCTTGTTCTGTCTTAAATAAACTAGAGTTGATGTTATGAATTAAAAAATATGTCCACATTTTTAGTTACAACATGGGACAGCCCTCTCGTTTTCCATCACTTTCTTGTGTGCTCTCAGCACCAGTTCCCGGGGTGATGACCACCATTTTTCTGCTAGGCACAGAAAGACCCCACTGATTCCTTTGAAACTATCTCTGGCTAGATTCTACATAGAGACTGGAACCTGATGGTATTAAACATACTCTTATTTGCCATGGTATATAGTTCATTTAACAAATTTACATTACTAGATATGCCAATCAAGTCATTTCACAGATTAAAAATATACATTGCCTTAATTTTTACTTACAGATACAATTCTTTATTTGTGGTGGATGTTGGGTGTGTTTATTGATTAATTCATTTTTTGTTTTGTTTTGAGACAGGGCCTTGATGTTTCCCAAGCTTGGCCTTAATCTCCTCAGCTTAAGTGACTTCCTACTTGAACTTGTTGAGTAGCTAACACCACAGGCAAATGATACTGCACACAACTTTCTAATATAAATCTTGAAACTTTTTTTAAAGCTGTAGTCTTAAGCCAGATGTCCTTAGATGTATAGCCTGTTTCTTTAAATGTTCAGATAAGATTTCAGACTTTTAGTCAAACCCTGTTCACATTTCCTTCTAGTAGGCCCCATCCCTGGGTCCTGAGGAGTAGCATATATGGCCGTGGCATGGATTCTTGTGGTTTGGTGTCTCGTAGGAAGGAAGGGCTTGTGAGGGCTTTAATCTGGATGAACTTGGTCCATATGTTGAGTTTGGAACTAATTGCCAAGAGATGCACATTTTGTTTATATGTCAACAGCTAATAAAGTCTCTTACATTTTTGAGCTTCCTTTATATAGCTTTGTCCCAGAATCTTGTATATATCTTTTTTTCCCCAAGTATGAATGTTTTTCCCTCATTAAAATTGTCATTTCATAACTTGAAATTCAGGTCTTGGTTATTGACAATGGGTTACTCCAGAGGAGACCTGTTCTATCTGTTATTTCCTTGAATTCACTTGAGGGGTCTGATGCCATTTCCTCCTCAAATACTGGTCTTCAGTTTGGTTTTGGTTTTTCAAGACAGAGTTTCTCTGTGTAACAGCCCTGGCTGACCTAGAACTCACATTGTAGACCACGCTGTCCTGGAACTCATAGAGATCCCAAGTGCTGTGATTCAAGGCATGTGCCACCACTGCCTAGCTGGTCTTCAGTTTTTCATCAGACAGTGTCAACACAGTCTAGCATTTACACCTAGAATTACAGTTCTGTAATTGCCCCACTGAGTGTGGAAGGAGACATTCAGGTGGTGTCATCCTCCATTCCTGCTCTGACAGGGAGTCAGTCCCCAGTCAGATGACTTGCTACACGGCCAGTGTCTTCTTTCCTAGGACAGCTTCACGCCATTCTGCACAAGTGCTTTCTCTCAGCTGTGGCTACAGGGAAGACCCATTGTCCTTTGCCAGTTTTTTTGTTTTGTTTTTTCCTTGCTGTCACTGCCCTAGTGTAGTGCCATTGTTAGTGTAAGGAAGGCTTGGATGGAAAGTCTGCTCTGCCCAATGGGCTTTGTGAAGGCTAACATTTAGTATAAAGAGCCTCACAGTGGTTATGAGCAGGAAGCTGTGAGGCCATCACCTGAAGGGTCTACTTGGGGCTGCTGCAAGGAGAATTGCATGCATTTTTTTTTCTTTATAGAGACCACTTTTAAGAAGTAACAAATTATTCTTTGTAGCCACTCATTAGGCATAGATTTTTCAGACCCATGATGCTGTTGATATTTTAAATGACTAAAAAAAGTCTTTGAGTTTGGAAAGTTCAGGAGAGGAAGCCTGGGTAAGTTCCTTTAAAGCATGCTTGGCTTACTGTGGTTAGCACCAGATGATCTTAGTAGGATGGTAATGTAAACATCTCATAGCATGACTTTCCCTCTCTCATGGGCATGTATGTATATCATGGGTCAGGGAAGAACACTCCAGTGTCTGCGGCAGCAGCATGGAGACAGCTGGCACCCAGGACACCCATATAGCTTATTCCACTTGATTTGCTTGGACCCATTTTATTTTTGCCTTATTAGAAATAAAGTGGTAAAGATCCATCCATGTAGATATAATAGAATTATCTAAAAAGCCTGCTTGCCAGTCTTACAAATAAAGTTGTTTCCTAGAAGTTATTCTAACAATTTGCTTACTTTGTTAGCTCTAAATACTATTTGCAAAGAAGCAATGAGCTTCAAAAACCAGTTTGTCTATTAAGTGGCAAACTTATTATCCTTGGTAAATGTGTATTTAATAAATACTATTTAATCTAAATTTAGGTTTCATGACACTTTAGACAGTACCACCCTTAAGTTAGAAGTAACTCACCATGATCACCCTGCTTAGTGCACATAACACTGAGATACAAACTCTTGGCTGTGGTTTCAGCACCTAAAGACTCAGACTTTTCTCATTGTGTCCAACCACGGTTCTTTAATGTAAGTATTTACTTAAACTAGACTTTTTTTTTTTTTCCGGGGGCAGGGGGGTTCGAGACAGGGTTTCTCTGTGGCTTTGGAGGCTGTCCTAGAACTAGCCCTTGTAGACCAGGCTTGTCTCGAACTCAGAGATCCACCTTCCTCTGCCTCCCGAGTGCTGGCATTAAAGGTGTGTGCCACCCTGGCCCGGCTAAACCAGACTTTAAATGGGGAAATGCTAGACAGCCCATTCTTAACTAAAAATCCAAACAAATTTGCTTTAAGTGGAAGGGGAAAATGTTGCTCTTAAAATACTTTGTGGCAATGGAGCATCAGAAACTTTGTTACATCCCACATTCTGCTGTAGGCATGTTTTCTCTGTGAGCCACTGACGTCTAAAGATTATGGTTTCCTGATACCAACACTATGGAGTAATCAATGTTGGGAAACCAAACAAGACTTTGTAGACTACCACAGGTGCTTGGTAGAGCTGTCTGCCTTTGGATGAACAAGCCAGTGGGCAAGAAGAATCTTCATTCTCGTTATTGGGGAGGGGGACCCTAAATGGAGATCTATTTCATTTTCTGTTTATACATGATGATTCAAAATTAACAAGCATTTCCATTGTAGTCTCTGTGTGTGTATATGTGTGAGGGGGGGGAAATGTGATAAAAAGTTACAAGCATTTACATTGTAGTCTGTGTGTGTGTGTGTGTGTGTGTGTGTGTGTGTGTGTGTGAGAGAGAGAGGGGGGGGTGATACAAAAGTTACAAGCATTTACATTGTAGTTTGTGTGTCTGAGAGAGAAAGAAGGGGGTGGGGGATGAGGTAAGGGAGTTGGTGCAAAAATGTAAATAACCCAAAAGGTTTGGTTACTGGCATTTAATTGAGAAATACCAGCAAAAACTACTGCTTTTAACAGTCACATCCTCTTGTCTCTTTGTTTAAATGCCTTTTATTTTTTTCATTTTACTTTTGATGTTAAAGTGCACTGAAATATCATGTTTTACTTGCCTTAGTAGTTATAATTATTAGCATTATCCTTCTGGAGAAAATACAAAGGCTGAAAATCTGATTTACAGGTACAAGCCAACTTTATGTCCAAACTTTATGTTTAAGCTTTGTAGCAGTTTTACAGTGATTGTCCAAACTGGATTAGACTTTTGCATTGAAGTCAAAGTATGGGTAAGTCTAGCACATATAATAAAATCTTGCTATATTCTGTGGCTACATTATTTTTTAAACTTGTCTGTCTCTTGGCATATTATATAGAGGTCATTTCTTGAATAAAACAGGATGGCCTAAACAATTCAGTAATTATTGAAGAAGTGAGTTACGGTGTGTAACATCAGTCTGTGTCACACCACTACTTCTATTTGGAAATCCGCATTTTAGGAAAACCTTGGTGGATGACTGGATGTGACATGTTGGACTGGTTTTTGGTAGACTTTTCAGTTCAGTGTTAGGCCTTTCATGTTTGTATCTATGTACATCTGTATGTGTAGTAAATATGAATTGAATAGATGACTTCTTATTTTATGTTTTAGGCCAAGATTGACAGACACCTAAATATTCATGACTTGAGACTATTCTGCAGCTATATATTTTCAACCTTTGGTGTGCAAAGCAAGACCTGAAGCCCACTCCGGAAACTAAAGTGAGGCTTGCTAATCCTGTAGATTGCCTCACAAGTTGTCTGTTTACAAAGTAAGCTTTCCATCCAGGGGATGAAGAACACCACCAGCAGAAGACTTGCAAACTCTTTAATTTGATGTATTGTTTTTTTAAAGTGTATGAAATGTAGAAAGATGTAAAGAAAATAAATTAGGAAAGACTACTTTGTATTCTACTGCCATTCCTAATGTATTTTTATACTTTTTGGCAGCATTAAATATTTTTATTAAATAGATTATGTTGTTTTGTGTGTGTGTGTGTTATCTTAAGACAGCTCCAATTCAAATCATGAATATTTTCTCATGGGTTTACTCAATTTTTTATAGTTAAAAATTAATATCTAATTGAAATCAGTTCAAAATAAAGGTCACTTAGCTTCGGTTACCTTTCAGTGGGCTTTCTATCCTAAGTAGTACTGGTTAGGCAAAAGCAGCACAGAAGAGTTAAAATATTGCTCTCGTCATTTAGGACAACATTAATCTTAGTAATAGTATTGCTTTGTGGTCAACATTCAGTTCAGTAAGTACAGCATTTGATTGACCCTTTATCATCTCAGTTGTTCTGTGTTGGACATTGTACCTTCCCAAGCATTTCCTTATGTAAAGATATTAGAGGTTCTTTCCCACTTGTGGCTTCTTTATTTCCCATCTAATTTGCACAATAAATGATGCGTTTGAATATCAGATGACTAACCAGTAGTAAATCATAAGTATACCTGTTTCATCCTTTAAAAATTTATTTGCCGCTGGGCAGTGGTGGTGCACGCCTTTAGGAGGCAGGGACAGGCAGATCCTGAGGTCGAGGCCAGCCTGATCTACTGAGCAGTTTCAGGAAAGCCTCCAAAACTACAGAGAAACCTGGTCCCAAAAAAGAAAAAGGAGCCTGTAAATAAAATTTCGGAGAATCTGATGCCTTCTGGCCTCTGAGGGCACTGGCATTTCAGGCTTGCACATAGGGTTCCTTCCAGCCCTGACATTACAGCTTCCTCTGAGTGTGATGGAAAACTACTTTCCTTCACTCCCAAGTGTAAGGCTTTGAGTTCATTCCTGTATCAGCTATGAAAGAGTTGATTGTGGCTCATAGTTTGATGGTATCATCCATCATTACGAGAGTCAGCAGCAGGGGCATGAGGCCGCATCTAATCACCTTGTGCCCACAATCAAAATGCTAGTACTTCATTTTTTTTTCTTTTTTTTACACAGTTCAGAACCCCAGTCAATGGGAAGGTGCTTCTCACATTCAGGGTAGGTCTCTTCAGTCAAACCTCCCACAATGTCCTCACCAGCCTGTCCAGAAGTGTGCTCATACACATAAAATAAGTAAATCTTTAAAAGAAAAAAAGGCGGAAAACTAGCTAGGTAAACTCCAAACTCTGCATCTCCATGTCTGATGTCAAAACACTCTTAGGTCTCCAACTCCTTTCAGCTTTGTTGACTTGAAACACACTTTGTTCTTTTGGGCTGGTGGTAGTTAGCAGCTCTCCTCAGTAAGTATCCCATCACTCTGGCTTCTCTAACATCTTTGGTTCTCAAAGGCAATCCAGGCTTCACCTTCACAGCTTCATGCTTTAGGCCTCCATTCAGGGACACCCCTGACACCTGCCTGGCCTCAGCTGATTTCCTTAGGCATTGAAAGAAAGAGATTCCATAATTCCTTCTATGCTTAACTTCAAAACCACATGGCTGTTGGGTGGTGGTAGTGGCCCACCCCTTTAGTCCCAGCACTCAGGAGGCAGAGGCAATCAGATCTCTGTTAGTTTGAGGCCAGTCTGGTATATAAAGCAAGTTCCAGGACAGGCTCCAAAGCTACACAGAGAAACCCCATTCTCAAGAAGCCAAAAAAGAACCCAAAAAACCAATAAAAACAAAACAATGTGGCCAGAGCTGCCCAACTCTGCAGCTGCTGGGGATGGAACGTGGCCCTCTTATTCAAGTATATCTTCACAAGTTTTCTGGTTTTGGTTTCCTTCAATGCCTAAAACTTGACTGTTCTGGACCTGGGTCTGTAGACCAGGCTGACTACAAACTGGAGATTCACCAGCCTCTATTTGCCTTTCCAGTGCTAGGATTAAAGCTGTGCTCCATCACTGTCCTGCCTTGTCTTTAGTTCCTTTTCACAAGTTGGAAACTTTGCTGGGTGGATCTTGCCCCGAGGTCACCACTCCTTTTTTCCCATTTCTTTATCTGTTTATTCCTTGAACACAGGATTTAGATCCACTTCCTGGTGCTCCTTTTCTCAAAATTTCTACTTTATAATTTACCCTGCAGATTGCTCCTTTTCATTGTAAATCTTTGTTACCACTAGTAGCCACATGACAGAGTCTATACTAGGCTGTTTTGAGATTTCCTCTGCCAACGGAATTAATTAAAAACTCTTTAGCCTCAGGCAGACTCTTTGGACAAGGGCAGCCACTTTCTTCACCAAAATAAAACAAGAACAAAAATTCTGAAACCTCTTTTTTGTTTGGTTTTTGAGACATGTCCTGAACTCACTCTCGTAGACCAGGCTGGCCTGGAGCTCACAGATCTTCCTTCCTCTGTCTCCCAAGTGTGTGTCACCACCACCCGCTTCTCTGAAACGTCTTGACCAAGGCCCCCATGGTTCAAATTAACTCAGAATCACTGTCTTCCAAGGTTTTACTAATGTGTCCCATTAAGCAGCACTTAAAACATTCAATTGCTTTCCTAATCCATAGTCCCAAGGTCCATATACCTTAAAGTAAAAGCTTGATCAGTCCCATCACAACAATACCTCAGTTCCTGATTTTCTGTTGCTGTGGAGAGATTGTGACCACAGCAACTCTTATAATGGAAAAACATTTAATTGGGGTGGCTTACGTTTTCAGAGATTGAGTCCATTATCATCATGCTGTGACATGGCAGTGTGCAGGCAGTCATGGTGCTGGAAAAGCAGCTGAAAGCCCTCCATCTTGACATGCCAGCAACAGGAAGGACTCTGACTGGGTGTGGCTTGAGCATATATGAGATGGCAAACCCAACCTCCAGCTGATGATGTTTCCACACAGTTCAGCAGTCAGCCATAAAAATGGTACCTGGCTATCGAGGGGCCTGAGTGTGAAGACAGATGGCAGACCAGGAAGTACAGAGCCTGGTTGGCTCCTCATGTAAAGTGAAGTCCAGAAGATTTCTGGGAGCTTAGGCCATGTCCAACAAAGATGTATAGGGGCTGGAAGTGGTTTATCAGGCTGGGGTCTGTGAGGCCCAGGCCTGAGGAGAGTTCATGTACATTCACTAATACCACAAGATGCCATCTGGAGGGGTCTATAGTGCCAGACTGGTGCTTGGCTGCTGTCTTTCAGGTGGTGGTTGGTCCCTCAAATGTTTATCGGCTGGAATCTTGACTCCAATTGGGGGGTATTGAGAGGTTGCTGTTAAGAGGTTGGGCTTCATAGGAGGTGACTTTAGTAGATCTCCTAAAAGTAAATTAGCTCCTCTCAGAGTGACTTGTTATCATCATGACAGTCAACCTAGAGCTGAGATTCCTTTTTCTCTTCATATAACAAAAAGTGAATAAAGACATTGTCCATAAACATTTTCTAAATGATTACTGTTTTCAAAATTATCTCAAGTTGACAAGTTTATTTATTTAGTACATTTAATTACCATGCCTCTCTCCCTCTCTGCTTTTGTCAGCCCAATCTTCTCTCAGAGCATACTAAGGAAAACATAAGTTTGAATTCTGAGTTATAGTGTTGTAAATTTTAGAGGAGGCTGGAAGGTTTGTTGAAGTTTGTGACTTTTTAAAAAAATGTATCTTTATTTTATATGCATTTGTGTTTTGCTTACGTTACGTGTATGACTGTGTGAGGGTGTTAGGTTCCCTGGAACTGGAGTTAGACAATTGTGAGTCTTCTTGTGGGAGCTGGGAACTGAATCTAGGTCTTCTGGAAGGGCAGCCTATGCTCTTAACCACTGAGCCATCAATGAAATCAGTGACTTGTAAATCTTTCTCCTAAGACTGAAAAGCAGTTCTGCCCTGGGTGCTGTATGCATCCAGGATAGCTGAGCTTTTGACAGACACCTGTGCCCTCTAACTTGTCTTGTCTGAGTTTACTGGGCACATTCTAGGAATGAAAGTCATCATGTCTGGGTCAAGGTAGGCCAGAACTCAGTTCTCATTCCCGGCTTCAACAGAGGTCACTGGAGAAGCCCAGGCTGCTTTTCAGTTAGACACTGTGTGCACATCTGGGCTGAGTTGCTGAGTCCCTAACATACTTACCATGGTCACTACATGTGAAAGATGTAGGCCAAGAGGGTCATGGCTGATCTGCTGTGCTTCCTAGCCAAGCAAAGGGAGCTGATTCATGTGGGACTTGAACTCATCTTTTGTCAGGGTTGACAGCAAGCACCTTTGCCCATCTTGCTGGACTTTATGCCTAGTTTTTTCACACTAAGAGTTCATAAAATTATTTTGTTTTTTTAATATTTGTTAAGACTTGCTCTGTGGCATGGAATATAACCACTGTTAGAGATCCCACAGGCTGCTGATGAGAGGTGTGCTTGATGGAAGTCTGTTAAGTCAATTTGGTCTATGTTATAGTTTAAAGTTTCTTTACTGATTTTGCTTGGATAATATATGGAAACATTAACAGCAAGATACTGAAGTCATCCACTATTGTTCTATTAGGACCAGGTAACTTCTTATGCCTATTAGTGTTTATTGTATAAAACTGCAAGCCCTGATGTTCACTATATATAACTGTTAAATTTTTTCTTTTTTAAAAACTATTTATTCATGTATTTGATGTATTTGGGCACATTGTCTGCATGCACATCTGCACACCAGAAGAGGGCATCAGGCAGTTATGGGTTGCCATGTGGGTGCTGGGAATTGAATTAGGACCTTGGGAAGAACAGGAATGCTCTTAACCACTGGGCTATCTCTCCAGTTCCTCCATTACATTTTCTTAAGAATTGCTTGTTTTGGCTGGGTGGTGGTGGCACAGGCTTTTAATCCCAGCAGGGAGGTAGAGGCAGGCACATCTGACTTTGAGGCCAGTCTGACTTACTGGACAGTGAAAGTTACAGAGAAATTGGTTTAAAAAAAAAAAACTGTTCAGTTTAACAAGAAGCAGCCTTTACTCTTCCTACTTTTGCTTTGGGATCACTGTAATAGTTATCAGATCATTCTCCAGAAAAGTAGCTCTGATAGCAGCTGGACTGGAGTCTTGTAAGACTCTGTGTAAAATAAACAAAATAAACACATGGCTCCATT